CCTAGTCCTCTATTTATAGGCTTTCCTCAAACCCTATTTCTTCAGAAATAAGAAAGTTATTATTTGTTTTTCAAGCCAATTTAAATTAAAACTCCTCCAACTCTTCAAGTACTTCAATTTCTTCCTTGTCAATTTAACAAATCTTCAATTCTCCCTTTGAGTTGCTTTTATCTTCAATTTAGTCCAAAACCTTAACAATTCTTCCATTTGAGTACAAAACCTACAAATAAAGATAAAATCATATAAATAGCATATTTGTACTCAAATTATATTGCAAAAATCACAATTAGGAATATAATAAATAGGTAAATTATGAGCATATCAAATGCCCCCAAACTTGAATTATTGCTTGTCCTCAAGCATGCCCAAGAATAAAAAAAAACTAAAACATTTAGTTATTTAATTCGGCGGCCTCAGAGATTCAATCATCATATAACACACAGATCTTGGCTACCTCTAATATGAACTACCTAACAAAACGCAAACCATAGCTATTTTTAGCCCCCACGCTTGTGTGTGTGTGCGATCTGTTTCTCAGGGACATCACTTTACATTTAATATAGAAAACAAAAGCTCTACTGCAAATATGCCATATATTAACACTTTAACACAGATTCACATTTCATACCATATTTCAATGCAACGGACCACCAGACATGCTATGAAGTAGAAGGACTTATCTCACAGACAACCTATTCCCCCTCGTAACCCATTCTTCGGTCCATGCGGCTTTTCTTCAGGACTCTTTCCAACTCAGGCCATTACCCAGAGCATTTTTCCACTCCTATACATAGTGGCTCAGCAACTTAGGGCAGTCTATATATCTATTTTTCCTCGCCGGGCCTGAGGACTCTCCGCTCAGGTTGCCAATTCCTCACCTCTCAATGGGCTAGCATCAACATTGAATGCTCTTCCTTTTCTCCCTCATTAAATTTAACCTAACCTCAGAAGCATCCACCAACACTCCTCCCCCAAACTTACTTACCACAAAGTGTCAAAGCAATAAGGTTTTTTAAGGCTGATATTGGGTTAATGCCTTGCTTTTCCTTCACAACATGATGGGTTCCACATACAAATCATATAAGTATGAGTGAATCAAACACAACTTTTCATGGCATATCTACATCAAACTCATGCAACTATGTCTCACTTTAGGCTTATCCCACAGTCACGACTAATGCATATAAAGCAGGGTATTCAAAGCAACATATAGAAATACATAAGTTAAACAATACAATTTAAAATAGTCTAATTCTTACATGCTATAGATAACTAAACAAACTTCATCATAGGCCTTTTTGGATTTTTCAATTTTTTTCAATTTTTATGTATTTTTTTTTAAGAAAGATAAACACAAAACATAAACACAAAACACAAATATTCCTCTCCCCCACACTTAAAGCATACATTGCCCTCAATGTATAAAACACAAAAGACAAGACAACCAAGTGAAAAGAAAAGAAAAGACATAAACAAAAAGAATGAAAAGAAACGACACAACCTTGGGAATGCAAAACAGAGGACCAGAATTGTTGAATAAACTGTTGCAACTGCTATCCAAGCACACGACCAACTTCTTTAGAATTTTGAATGTTTCATTTTCAGCACCACTGGACACCAGAGTTTCGCCCTTCCAACAAACCTAATTGCGAACTAAAATAAATTAGAAAAAACAAACCTAAAAACAGATGATTAAGAAAAACCACGAAAATCCAGAAATCAAATATCTCCAGATAATCAGGAACAAAAAACTTAACCATCAACTGATTAATGAAAGAAAAAGAAAAATAAAGCAAAATAAAGAATTGGGTTGACTCCCAATAAGCGCTTCTTTAAAGTCATGAGCCAGACTATGTGGCTGATCAATCAGGTGGACGCTCAATCAAAGACTGTGAAACTCTTTGATACATCATTCTTCTTCCATTTCTATCTGTGCCTACATCACTGATACATATGTCAGGAGGATATTTAGAATTAGCAATGAAAACATCAGTTTTATCGAGCTCCTCAAGAATATCTACCCTAAACACATGATGAGTAAATGCAGAGCATTTGTAATTTTCAGAAAAAAAATGAACTCTATAGATTCTTCTCCAATATGAAATTTTAAACTCCCTTTTTTAACATCTATAACAGCACCAGCTGTGGCTAGAAATGGTCGACCTAAAATAATTGGCACATTAGCATCTTCTTCCATATCTAACACAACAAAATCAACAGGGATATAAAACTTCTTCACTTTTATTAGAACGTTTTCCAAAATCCCTTTCAGGTGAGTTATGGACCTATCAGCTAACTGCAAAGTGATGTTAGTTGGTTTCAAATGTTTCAACCCAAGCTTTCTACAAACAGATAAAGGCATCAATGAAACACTAGAACCTAAATCACATAAAGTTTTATCAAAACAAACATCAACCCTAGAGATACGAATAGAGAAACTCCCTGGATCACTCAATTTTGGAGGCAACTTCTTCTGAATAACAGCACTACACTCCTTAGATAATGCAATTGTCTCAAAGTCTTCCACTTTCCTTCGGTTGGAGATGATATCCTTCAAGGACTTCCCATAAGCAGGAATTTGAGCTAAAGCATCTGCAAAAGGAATGTTAATATGCAATTGCCTAAAAATTTTCAGAAATTTCTCAAACAACTTATCTTGCTTGGTCATATGGAGTCTCTGTGGAAAAGGCACTGGTGGAACATAAGGTTTAAGCGGTGGTGGCACATATATCTTTTCTTCCTCTTGTTCCACTTTCTTCACTTTCTCTTCATCGCTCTCTTTACTCTCTTCTTTCTTCTCATCAGTGGTCACATTCACTTCAGTGGTCTTTGGTTCCTCCTTGTCACCCAACTGCTTCCCACTTCTCAACATGATAGCACTACAATTTTCACGAGGGTTGATTTCAGACTTGCTTGGCAATTGACCTTGCCCACGAGTATTCATGGCAGAGGCCATTTGACTCAATTGCATCTCCAAGGTCCGATGAGCAGTAGTCAATTGATCTAACCTTACTTCTATTTTGTTAGACCGCTCATCATTTTCACTCAACAATTTCTCCATTCTCTCCAAACTTGCCTCCGTTGCTGACTTACAGATTGGTATGACTTTACTTGGAAACCAGGAGGGTTTTGAGGTCTTGCGTTAAAGTCTTGAGCCCCTTGATTATTCCAAGAAAAGTTTGGATGATTTCACCATCCAGGATTGTAGTGTTGGAGTACAGATTATTCTGCTGCTGAGGCTTGCTGAAATTAGAGACTTATTGTGCACTTGCCAGTTGCATACATTCAGAGCTCAAATGAGGACCTCCACAAAACTCACAGACAGTGGCATGGAAAACTACATTAGCATTTACAAGATTACCCATTGCCTTAGTCAGTGCATCTATCTTTGCATTCATGGCACTTAGTTCATTGACTTCATACATTCCAGCAGGCTTCTTGGAAACACTTCTCGAGTTCGACCATTGATTCCTATTCTTTGCCATAATTTGAAACAATTCATAGGCTTCATTATTGACTTATCCAGTAATGAACCTCCAGCTGCACCATCCACATTGTTTCTTGCAAAGTCTGTCAATCCTTGATAGAAAGTCTGAACAAGAGTACTTTTCTCAATACCATGGTGAGGATACCTTCTTTGCAATTCCTTGAATCTTGTCCATGCAGCATGAAATGTCTCATCATCTTCTTGAATAAACCCAGTAATTTGATTTCTCAATTGCGCTACCTTATCTGGTGGGAAGAAATTAATCAGGAACTCCTTCGCTTCTCCCCTCAGCGAGAAAGGAAAAAGTCTCAACCGGATTGCATCTGACGTCACACCATTTATCTTAACAGTATCACAAATCTCTAAAAAGTTGTCAATATCCGCATTTGGATCCTCATTGTTAAAACCGGAGAATTGGTTCTGCTGCTCCATCTGGATCAATGCTGGCTTGAGCTCAAAGGTATTCGCAGCAATGGTAGGCCTAGTAATACTTGACCTAGCAACATTCTCTGTAGGTGTGAAGTAATCCCTTAATGTTCGAGTGTTTACTCTATCGCCCATGGTTTCACTCTGATTCTTCTCCTTTCTTAGTTTTGCTTCTTTTCTGTTCGCACGAGCTGTTCTCTCGATCTCTGGATCAAATTACAAAGTCTCAGAATTAGCACTTCGCATATAAAAACAAAACAAAAATATTTGAAAGAAATAACTAAAATAGCAAGAAAATAAAATAAATAAATAAAATCTAAACTAGTAAAAGAAAGTAATCTGAATTTGATATTAGCTGCCTTCCCCGGCAACGGCGCCAAATTTGACAAGCCGTTGTCACACTAGTCAAATTTTAATTACCTACTTAATACAATTACAAGTAGTAAAGCAGAAAGCAGGGTCGATCCCACATAGAAAGTTATCAAGTACCGGTTAAAATTAATTCTTATTATTATTTAGATTAACAATTTATCAATTTAAACTAATCTAAATATAAAACTATCAATTACAATTATTTAAAGATATAAATAAGTAAAAGAAAAACCTAGGGTAAAGGGTTCACCAACCGACTATTCAGTTTAACTCAACCTATAGATATGTGACTTTGGACTTTCATTAATCTCACAACGATTCACCTATTTAAGAACTATTCACTGTTGTGATATAATTCTCTTACTCAAACTAACCCTATGACTACTGTCGTGACTATAGGATTTAATTAGAGTACATTAAGAACCCTAAAATCTATAGCTGCAAAGACGGTGTTCCTACTTTCGTGGCCCACTATCTAAGTTTAATATTCCCATGAACTAGTGCTAACCTTCAACTGTCGTTCTTTCAGTTAAACACCTTTAAAGCATGCAAATGGTGATCAAATACTCACATGGAATAAAAACAAGAATATTAAATATCAACTAATGAAAAAGTCACAATCATGAATTAAATTAAATTAAATAGTATGGCGGCTACATCCAAAACCCTAGATTAAATAATTTAGCTACACATCATCTTAAAAATAAATAAAACAATGAAACTCGGGATGAAGACGACTCGCAAAGGCCGAGTCCAAAAACTTGGATTGGCTTCGTTGATGCTGACGGCTTTCCCTGATGATGGTGTCTGGTTGATGAAGTGCTGGCGGCGTGGAGGGGGTTTATGGGATGATAAGGTGTGAGGAGATGATATGGTGCAGAGAGGAGGGATGAAAGTGTAAAGTGGTGTGGCGTGGGGTGGTGCACGTGGTGATGGGATGATGATGATGATTTGGCTGGGGTTTAGGTTTTGGTGAAGGGTTTTTCGGCGTGGGAGTGGAGAAAAGGAGATGGGGCGTGGGGTTTTTTTTCTCTGTCTCAAAAAATAAAACCCTAGTCCTCTATTTATAGGCTTTCCTCAAATCCTATTTCTTCAGGAATAAGAAAATTATTATTTTTTTTCAAGCCAATTTAAATTAAAACTCCTCCAACTCTTCAAGTGCTTCAATTTCTTCCTTGTCAATTTAACAAATCTTCAATTCTCCCTTTGAGTTCAATTTAGTCCCTTTGAGTTCAATTCTCCCTTTATCTTCAATTTAGTCCAAAATCTAAACAATTCTTCCATTTGAGTTCAAAACCTACAAATAAAGATAAAATTATATAAATAGCATATTTGTACTCAAAATATATTGCAAAAATCACAATTAGGAATACAATAAATATGTCAATTATGAGCTTATCAGTAACATGCAATGCTAAACTCAGCTGACTAAAAAAACTGATTGAGCAGCTTCGAGATATGAGCAAGTTTAGACTTGTAGTTTATTTTGAACTAAAATTGAAAATTTAAATGGGTGATCATTTTAGGACGGAATAAGTATTTGATAAATAGATATTCCGAATAAAAGATATTTGTTGATATTTTTGGTGTTAAAATATTCTTATGGAAGATTAATTTCATCAGCACTAGGAGATTTATCACTTCATTTGCATACATTAACCTCTTAAGTATCCTCAAACTGTCTTTCTTGTTTTCTAAACTCAATTACTCACCCTTCCGCCTTCCTATCAACGGCTGCCACTCTTGAAATTCAGTACATTTCTATTTCTTTTAACTCTCTACCAACCCCCAAAAAAAGAACTCTTGAGGAATTGACATAATGAAGGGTGTTGAACTGTGATGGTTGAATATTTTTGCTGAACTAGTCACATCTTCTCTCAATTGGAAGGCTTTTACAGAGGAGGTATGGATTGTTTATAAAAGGAAATCATATGTGTTTGCACATTGTTGATTGTATGGATTATTTATTTGCCTCAAGTTTTCAATGTTTTTCTCTGTTACCACAATTCTTAGGTTTATTCAATGCTTGAACATGTCAGTTATCCCCTAAGTAGATTCTTTAATTGCATTCATTAATCATGAAGGTAACACATTGAAAACTGCAAATTAGGACTTCTAGAATAAGTAGTTATATACAAACTCATTAGTTTTGTTGTTGGTTAGGAGATTTGTCAATGGTGGTGTTGATGGTTTCCTCAAAGATTAATTATTGTTGATAACTTCAATAACTCCTTCCACAATTAACCTTTTACTTTTCTAGTAAGGTTTGGATTCTCAATTTTAGGGTTACAATCTATCAACTGATACTTAGTAATCGAGTGTCCAGTTAGACTTCTTACCGTAATTCCCTCTTCATTAGCTATTGCTGAGTTGCATTGATGGTATAACTTGTTAAAGGTTCATACATTTTGCTTAAAAGATCAATCTTGTGGCAGTCTCAGAAAGCCAGAATCATCGAGGGAAAAATGGAGGAAGCATATCGAACATGTCTTGATCCTTCACTGAAGTTCTTAGAAGATTCAACTGATTTTGTTGATTCACATCCTCACTTGGCAATCCCTTTTATGGCCTTGAGAGTGGAGTTGACATTCCTGAAAATGTTGTTTTGGCAGTTGGCGTATTGGGATGAACCCGGATATGAGCAGCTTCGGGCAACCACGAGTGACATGGTGTCTAAATTTGGCCAAACAACAAAGAACTTTAAGTTGTCTTTTGAACGGACGCATCATCAACATAAGCGCATGAGTTGGAAATAAAGGAGTTCGGATTTAAAGAAACGCTGTTTAAGCCAATAGCCAAAGAGATTTGCATTCTGATCTTGGATGAGGCCCGCAAGCCTGTTTCTTACCAACAGAACCAGAAGATGTTGCTTGAAAGGGATAGAGAGATTATTTCCTTCATTGATCTTATCCAACAAAACATATGGGCTTTGCTCAACTCTAATACTGAAATCAGTGCTCCTGTGAAGCAACAAATTGCCTTCATCCAGCAGAAACTCGATGAATTTGGAAGGTTTTCTTACCCAATCAATCATCCGGTATTTAAAGTTAAGAAGTTGGTTGAACTCATATCTTTGATACGGACATGGGCTAACCATATCTCATGTCTTGTGTTTTTGTATTGGATTGATGGAAATGATGAGAAATGGCATCTACAATGGGGATTGTTCTTCATGATTTGACGTGAAAAACCATGCCTTATACTCCGGGGGTTGTGGCATCCAACCTAGAAGGTATATTGATTCCTCAACTTCTTGGAAGTTATGTTGACACTCTCTTACAAGATTTGATCATGCCTGCGAAGAATGGTATTGATATCCTTCAAGAAGCATTACTACTCCTGTTGTCGTTTGCTCTGGGTCTGCCTGATGAACATTCAAAGGACAAAGAATCAATCTTGTCCCAAATTTATGGTATCATCAATGAGTTACCTTCTCTTATTTCCTTTATCCATTCAGGTGTAACAAATGAAGATGTTTCTGAAGCAGAGTATTCTGATTTTCTAGGTAAGGTCGATGCAGTCAAGGCAGAAGTGAAAGATCTATTTATCGATACTAAAGTTGTGTTGTAATTTGATCCTGCAAAGACTAGTTCTGCAGGGTTTCTAGATTCACTCTTGAAAAATTTGAAGAACATGTTGCAAGAGGTGAATTTGGTTACTTCCATGAAGTGTCAACTTGAAATTGTGCAAGAAGAGCTCGCATCACTTATGCCCTTCCTTCAAATTAACCTTAGGCTGCAAAATGAGGATGAGAGCTTGATGGATCTTCGGATCCGAGCCATCAACTTGACGTATTATGTAGCCTATGCCATCAAATTTTGTCCTGCAAGGAGTTTTTCTATGTGGTATGGCATTATATGCCTGCCAAATGTCATAAATAACATAAGACTTATCCACACTGAGATCAACAATGTTGCAGACAAAATATGTCTGAGTGCAAGAATGGTGTCTAGTACTCCTATGCCACCACAAGCCACTTTTCCAAAAATTGAAGACGCATTTATAGGCTTCGAGGAAGATGCAAGGTTGATAATCGATTATCTCACCAGAGGACAAATAGATCTTACAATTATTTCTATTTCTGGAATGCCCGGCCAAGGCAAGACGACTTTGGCTAACAAAATTTACAATGATCCTGCAGTCCAATTTTACTTTCGTAAAATTGTGTGGAGTTATGTATCAAAGGACTGCACAATGAGATAGTTGTTGATTAAAGTGGTACGTCAAGTCACTGGGATAGAGGAGGAATCAATCTCCAAACTAGAGGATCATGATTTGGCTGAGCGTATATGGAGAAGTACGTACTTCTCCAAACTAGTTTGAGGAAACAAAAATATCTCATTGTGATGGATGACATTTGGGATGTTGAGTTGTGGTGCCAAGTGCAAGCATCATTTCCAAATGACAAGAATGGAAGTAGAATCCTATTTACTACTCGTATTAATGTTCTGGCTACAGAAGCTAAAGAGAAATCCATTTCACATGATCTTTGCTTGTTTTCTGATGAAAAAAGTTGGCAGTTAATTGAAGAAAAGCTTTCTCATTATGGTGGTTGCCCACATGAACTTGAAGGAATTGGAAAACAGATCGCCACCTATTGCAATGGGTTACCAGTAGCGGTTTCCTTGATTGCTAATATTCTTACAAGGAGGGAGCAAAAGCTGGAGTTGTGGAATGAAGTAGCAGACAATCTGAAATCACATCTCAATACTGAAGGGTGTGGGAATGTGATAGAGCTAAGTTACAAGTACTTAGCTGATCTTTTGAGACAGTGCTTTCTATACTTTGGAACATTTAAAAGGGGAAGAGAAATTTGTGCCAAGGAACTGAAGTCGCTATGGATTGCTGAAGCATTTATAGACAATAATGGGACACGATCTTTGGATTTGGTGGCGAATGAATTCTTAAGTAATCTAATTTCACATAGTTTAGTTATTGTTACCAAAAGAACTTCCATGGGTGCTATAAAGTGGTGCACAGTTCATGATCTGCTCTATGACCTGTGCTTAGAGAAATCATTGGAGGAGAAATTTTTGCTTTGGGCGGATCATAGCACCATTTTCGAAGAATGGAATTCCAGTTCACAGAGGTATATACACCATAGACTTTGCATTAAAAGAATTGACCCTTTCATCAAACCACCACCCGCTATCACTGGAAGGAAACTACCAACAAGCCAGGTTTGCTCTCTACGGTGCACTTGAATTCTTATCATACTTTCTTCGAAGCATTAAATGTCTTACTATGCTTGATTTAGCAGATGTGCATTTGGAAATTAATGAATTTCCTGAAATGATATTATCCCTTGTTCATTTGAAGTATTTGGCACTATGGGTTTAGAAAATTATGCAGAAGGTAAAGAAAGAAACAAACGAAGTTAGGGTTTGGACTTTTATTATACTTCTATTTTTCAAGCTCAATATTGTTATGTTTGTAAGTCTGATTTCATAGACCTACTGGACAAAGATGATAACTACTATAATTAATTATAACTATCATCTAAATAGAAGCTCAACAGAAGCAATCACTGTCAATATTAAATTGACCTAAACTACCTTGGCAACACCCATATCTCCTAATTGAGTATGATCAACCTTATTAATCCTTAACACCTTATCACTCCTCATACTCAATGAGTTATCGAAGGAGGAATCTTGAATATTACTTTTACTTTTAACATCCACCCGCAAACCGAGACGGGGTAAGAGACTCAGTTTGGTTTGGAAGAATGGCAACATAGACTTGGTGATAGGTTTTGTGAAAATGTCAGCCACCTATTGTGCCGAGGAGACATGTTTGGTAACAAGGAGTCCAAGGGCAACTCTTTCCCGAACAAAGTGATAGTCCAATTCAATGTGTTTATTCCATGCATGAAAGACAGGATTCACATTTAAGTATAAGGTGCTGAGGTTGTCGAAATAAAGAACGGTCGGTGACTTTGGAGAAATCTGGAGAGCTTGAAGAATATAAGTAAGCCAGGTAAGTTCAGCTGCGGTGTTGGCCATGGCACGATATTCGGCCTCGATGCTCGAACGGGAGATAGTATGCTGTTTCTTTGTAAAAACATTTACAACTGATATTTTTTCATCAAATACTACATGTCGGGAAATATAGAATTTCTTGCTGAAGGATTCTCATCCTGAGCTTGAAAATGTTGTAGCAGTACTTCATCAGGCTGTTTGTTCATCAGATTCTGCAATAGAGGATTTAATAGATGGTTTCCCTTTATAACCTTTCTGTACAGTTCATTGTAATTAGTTAGTTGAGGGTATACTTGTAAATTCCTGTGTAAGTTAGAATTTAGTTAGTAAGTTGTAAAGTATAAATAGCTACTTTTACAGATATTTAATCAATAGATTTCATTTTACCAAATAATTGACAACGGTTTTTTCCCCTTTCTGTTTTGTTCAAACCCTAACCATGCTTTCCGCTTCAACTCTGTACACCATCATTTGATGGTATCAGAGGAGTGTTCTGGTCAATCCAAATCTAAACCGATAGTCTTGTTCGTTTTTCTTTTCTGATTCGATTGATCCGAATATTTTTGTCTTCTCAGATCAACTTCAGATGAGGACTAGTTTGGATATTCTTTCAGATCTTCCGGATCGCGGTGGCGTGGGTACTCACCGGAGTGATGATCACAATTTCAGCGGTAATTCTTCTAATTTTTGTTGATGTTTACAACTTGCATGATGGAATTAACCCATCACTTAGGCTAGTTTCCGTTCAATTGAATGATGTCAATTATCTTAATTGGAGTCGATCTGTTCGAACTTTGCTTGAGTCGAAAATGAAGTTCAGTTTTGTCGATGGTACTTGTTTGATGCCGCCTCTTTGCACATTTGGGTATATGCACTGGAAACAGGCCGATAGCAGTGTTAAGTCTTGGTTAGCTGTAGGGGTTTCTCTAGATATTATCGAAGGTTTTTTTGTATGCCTCTACTGCTAAGCAGTTGTGGGATGATTGGCCGAGCGATATGGGAATGAAAATGTTCCTATGCTACTGCGTATGAGAGAAGTGTTAATCAATTGGAAACAAGGTGATCAGCCACTGTTAAAGTACTATAATGGTTTGAAGAAGTTGTGGGATCAGTATGAACATTTCAGGCCTTTTCCAGAGTGTCCACCGGCTGTGTCAAAGATACTGATTGAGCGAGATAATGAGGACAAGCTAGTACAGTTTATTCTAGGGCTGAATGATTCTTTCCAGGCAGTGAAGGATAACATAATGATGATAGAGCCTTTGCCTATGGTCAGCAAAGCTTATGCCATAGTACTTCAGATTGAGAAACAGAGAAATCCTGTCTTAGTTGGGCCGCCAATTATTGGTAATTCAGCTTATTCAGTTACTCCAAGTCCAGTATCTTATGCTATACCTGGTGGCAATTCTGTGTTACTTGCAAAAGCACAATTTGGAAGAGGGAAAAGACTGAGAGTAGCTATGAATATGCAAAGAGGAAGCTGGAAAAAGCTGCTAAGTTATGTACTCATTCTTAGAGGCCTGGCCATGATAAAGAGGAGTGTATAAGCTGAAAGGGTATCCAAATTGGTGCCAGGGAAGTAAAGACAAAGGTCAGAAAAAGGCGTTTGCACATCTTGCAGAAGTCGATACTTCATTGGATTATGCACTAGGTGGGATTACAAGCTCGGAGGCAGATATTCATTCACGGATGCAGAAGTTCAGCAATTTGCAACAAGAGTTCACCAGAGCCATCAAAGTAAAGGCTACTGCAGATTCAGACTTGGCATCTTCGTCACAAGTCAACTTTGCTCATTTCGGGGAGTTTGCAGTTAGCCATTGACGCATGACAAAAACGTGGTGGTTAAGAAATCAGAACTTAGGCTGATTAAAGAGTAGTATGCAGCGGAAACTAAAAGAATCTGTAGGAAAACAAGCTTGGAAATCGCAGGAAAACAGGGATTAAGGGTAGGAAAGGAAGAAGAGAAGAAAACCTAAGAATCACTCTTAGAGCCCTTTGGCGTCACACCACAGGAATCCTAGGCATCACACCAAGGATTTAGTTAAGTCACACAGTTATTGTAAAGCAAAGCTTATTGCAGGAATTTTTATTAATCAATGTCTCTAAAAAATCTCCTCATATGAGGTACATATAAATAGGCCTAAAACTTAACCTAAACCAAAGACAACTAGGATTCTCACCTAATTTCCTTTTTATTCCAAGAAATTCCTGTAGCATAGCTAATATACTAAAAAACCCTTTCCTAAATATTAATACTAAAATAAATAATTAAATTACGGCTTAATAAAGGATTAACTTAACCAAAGTCCCAACAGTTTGGCTCCTTCCCTAGATCATGATGATCCTGGGCATAAATATAGAAGAACCTACTGATAGGGTTCTTCTACCATTCCTTGTCCCCATCATTCTCCCCTGGTTCCAAAAAACTCGTCCTCGAGTTCTAAAATGTCTGAGAATGAAGAACCTGACAATCTAAAACATAAGCCATGGCACTGCAGCATATTCAGCATGAGAAAACTTCTTTCGGCCAAATGTAGGTATAAGAGTAGACATTTGGAATGTACTTGCTGGTTTGTGGTCATAAACCTCTCCAAAAATGAAATCAACTTTCGGAATTCCAGGATCATATACTTTTGAATGGCATGTCTTTAAAACTTGATTCAACTTCACAAAATTTTCATTCGGACTTGTAGCAAGGTTTCCATGAATCAAGTCAGTTGACTTCTCACATGAACCAAAATCTCCCTCCAGTTTAGGATGCAAAATATTTCTCAGTAGGGCTCTTCCTTTAGCTACGTCCTCTTGAATCTCACTAAGATTGAGAAGTTGTACTTCTTTTGCCTTATTACCAAACGTATTAAGTTGATAAATCTCAGGCTTATCAGCGCTCTCAGTAAGCTTACTTTGCTGAACTTCTTGAACTACTTCTTTCAGCAATATATTCGCGGCTTCTCCTTTATGATCCTCTTTAAAATCCTGAAAAGCCGTAGATTTATTTGTAGTCTCCTTAGTAAACTCCTAAACCACATAGATCATAGGATTGTTGTCTTGTTGAACCACATGATCAGTAAGTTCATCATCAGACTTTTCTAAAGATGCCTCGGCAAAATTCTAAACCTCTAAATCTTCCATTGTAGTCTCTTGAGCCGCAAGGACCAGCGAGCTACTGTCTTGAACTAATTGAACAATAGGTTCATCCTTGAACGTTTCTGCAGACTCATCCAAATTTTGATTCTGAACAGCCTCTCTACATACATCCTCAGCAATGATAATGAAATTATGTGTGAGTCCAGAAAAATCAGGTGGTTTTGGAGGTTTTTCTGTCTAAAAATCAATAACATTAAGACCAGGGTTTCCATCTTCAGTAGGGCAATTTAGAATTTTCTTATTTTGTTCTACTTGATTCTGGACAAACTCAATTGTAGCTTCGGTAGAATTCTGACCTGAAACTTTTTCGTCCTCCTTAGTAACATTCAGAGCTGAAACCTCAGGAATCACTTGATCACTTTTTTGCTTAGGTAGGTAATGCTTCATCATATATTCATCAGTTTGGGGCTTCAAAACAACTTTTATGTCGTTGAAGGAGTAGGTGTTGGCTCTACCATCATGCTCTACTTCCCGATCATATAACCAAGGTCTTCCTAAGATTATTTGTGAGGCATTCATGGGAATAACATCACACCATGTAGAATCAACATACCTACCTTTTTTGATGTCTACCAAGCAATACTTCGTCACAGGAATAGTTGTGCCATTAATCCAACCAACCTTATGTGGGTATGGATGTGGCTCTGTTTTCAAATTCAGCCTTTCAACAGTGGATTCAGAAACCAAATTCGCACTACTACCTCCATCTATAACCACTTTCTTGATAGCTTTCCCGCAATAAACGAATGTCTGAAAGATTCTTGTCCTTCTCCAATCTTCTTCTCCTGTTTTTGGTGCTCTAGAAATTCGCCAAATTAGTGAAAGATAGGACATATCAACATCATCTTCTACCTCCTCCAAATCTTCAGTATCAACCATGCCCATCTCCTCTTCATCATCATCGTACTCCTGCTCATCTTCCTCAACGATTTCTGAACTACAAGGCAAATTAGGATAACGTATGCTATGGGGATTCATAGCTGTTGATCTCTAAACCTTTTTGAAAATAGAATTTATCAGGAAAATCAATTCCAATCTGATAAAAAAAGTACTAAAAACCCTAGGAAATTCAGCTCTGATGCCAAATTGACGCAGGACAAAAACGTGGTGGTTGAGAAATCAGAACTTAGGCTGATTAAAGAGTAGTATGCAGCGGAAACAAAAAGAATCTGTAGGAAAACAAGCATGGAAATTGCAGGAAAACAGGGATTAAGGGTAGGAAAGAAAAGAGAGAAGAAAACCTAAGAATCACTCTTAGGGCCCTTTAGCATCACACTGCAAGAATCCTAGGCATCACACCAAGGATTTAGTTGAGTCACACAACTATTGCAAAGCAAAGCTTATTGCAGGAATTTTTATTAATCAACGTCTTTAAAAAAATCTCCTCATATGAGGTACATATAAATAGGCCTAAAACTTAACCTAAACCAAAGACAACTAGGATTCTCACCTAATTTCCTTTTTATTCCAAGAACTTCCTGCATCATAGCTAATATACTAAAATACCCTTTCCTAAATATTAATACTGAAATAAATAATTAAATTACGGCTTAATAAAGGATTAACTTAACCAAAGTCCCAATACTTTGGCTCCTTCATTGGATCATGATGATCCTGGGTATAAATATGGAAGAACCTACTGATAGGGTTCTTCTACCATTCCTTCTCCCCATCAGCCATTCATACTCAAAACTTAAGGCTGTTAAGTCTATTGCTAGTAGTTTTTGGATTGAAGATACATGAGCTACTAATCATACATGTATGGACTATAGTATTCTTAAAAAAGTTAAAGCTGTTAATTCTATTTCTCCTGTCACATTACCAGATGGAAGTGTAAAATACGTGCAATCCACTGGTGATGTTGAGCTTAGTTCCAAAGTTAGGTTATCCAACTCTCTAAATGTACCTAGTTTTAGATATAATTTTTTGTCCATAAGAATGTTAGCTAAGACTTCCAACATTTATTGTGGATTCTTAGCCGATTGGTCTTTCTTACAGGACCTTTCCACTAAAGAAACCATTGGGGTTGGAAGGATCTTCAACGCCCTTTACATCCTGGGTCAGAGTTCCTTCCAGCCGCAGAATATTAAACATGCTTTAGATAATTTTTTTTGCCTAGAGTACTATTCAGAAAGTTTCCAAGTGACAGTTGTTTGTCTACTGTGGTTAATAAAACCTTTTCAGCTGTAAATACTCAGTGGCATTGCTGCTTAGGTCATCCTTCTTACACTGTTTTGAAACGTCTTAATAAAGAGCTTTCCCTTGAATCTTTCGATGATATGCATTGTGATGTTTGTCCTCTAGCAAAACAGCATAGGCATTCTTTCCCTTTAAGCACTATTACTACTACTAGGTGCTTTGATTTAATCCATGTCGATTTATGAGGTCCATATAATCATCCTACCCTTGTAAATACCCATTTCTTCGCGGGACCTGGACTTTTCTTCTTCGCTATAAGACAAAAGTGACCAATATTCTTCAGAATTTCTTTCTCTTTGTTCAAACTCAATTCTCTTTACATGTTAAGACTGTCTGAACCGATAATGGGACAAAATACTCCATTCTGTACAACTTGACATGTCTCATTTTCGGACATTCGGTTGTCTCTGTTATGTCACTAATGTCCAACCTCATAAAGATAAATTTACTCCTAGGGCTTACTAAAGGGGTGTTCCTTGGGTATCCAGATGGTTTATAAGGTTTATCTTTTCAAGTCTAGGAAAGTTTATACTTCCCATGATGTTGTCTTCCACGAAAATCTTTTTCCATATAAACCATCTCAGTTGCACGGGGATTCTGTTCCTTTACCTATGGTCCCAGTAAAGAAAACTTCTCCTGTTTCTACTACTTTTGCACCTGTTCAAGATTCTTTGGTTGATTCCCCTTCTCTCTAATGATCCTGATTCATAGGTTCTATTCTTGTTGATGGGAATCCTTCCTCCTCTGTACTTGATTCTACCATTTTACCGCTTGATCCTTCTCTGGTAGAACCTATTCTTCGCCATAGTACCCGGGCTAGGCACACACCTGTTTGGATGAATGATTTCTTCCACTTCTACATTTCAGTCTCCTCCCACTTTTCCTTATATCCAACAACCATATTTTAGTCCATTATATGTTGATTTCTTAGCTAATGTTTCTAAGATTCCTGAACCTAGTACTTATGACAAATCTAAGCATAAAGTTGAATGGCAAGTAGCTATGAATAAAGAGCTTGCTGCTTTAGAACATAATCAAACCTGGGACTTGGTTGAGTTACCTAAGGGGAAGAAAGCGATAGGGTGTAAGTTGGTTTATAAGATAAAATACCTTCCTGATGGCTTTGTCGAGAAATACAAGGCTCAGTTGGTGGCAAAGGTTATAACCAGGTTGAGGGTGAGCATTACTTTGAATCATTTTCCCCAGTTGCTAAGTTAGTTACTGTTCGCCTTGTTCTTGCCCAAGCAATTTCCCGAAACTGGCCCCTTCATCAACTGGATATAAATAACGCCTTTTTGCATGGCTATCTCGATGAAATTTTCTATATGAAGATTCCCTCCGGGTACTCTAACGCTGCTCCTAATTAGGTTTGTAGATTAAAGAGGTCTCTTTATGTTTTAAAGCAAGCTTCCTGTCAGTCGAACCTTGAATTTACTCAGAAATTACAGTCTTTTGATTTTATGCAATCTGGCCAT